TAAGGAACTTGTGAATCCTATCCTCCTGCTCTCGAGTATGCAAGAATGCTGCTCCCTCGGGCTCTATCTTCGGAATAGCAGCAAGAGGACGTAGAGACTCATACTCAAGCCAGCGCTGGGTCAAATAGCCATAATAATCCTGAACGGTCATATCTCCCTGCCGAGCATATGAGAGCTCCTGAGAAAGCTCATAAACACAAACTCCCCGTCCTGACTGAGAATACATCTCTGATAATGCGCTCCATAGCTTCGGAACAGAGCTATGAAACTGGTGGATCCTGCAAACAGAGGGCTCCATTGAGCCAAATAACCATCCAAGAATGACACAGTTTTCAGAGAACCACGCAGAATATCAGGGTCGGCATCAGCTGGCTTTGGGTGAGATCCCGTCAGCCAACCAAGCTTCCCTACACGGCCTAAGAAAAGCTGGAATGAGCGTGACCACTCAGCGAAGTTACGACCATTCAACAATTGTGCCGTAACTTTTTGAGAGATCATGCCCGGTAATGCTGGTAATGCAACTGTGCTAGTAGGCACTGTATACTGGTCAAACATAAAAGTGGAAGTACCCATAGATGTCTCAACGGTAGAGGTGTCAACAGTAGGGTTCTCAAGTCCCTCAGTAGTAGCCATATCAACAACAATACTAGGGCACCCGTGACAGAAAAATAACTCTAAGATAAATAGAGGAATAAAATAAGGGAGAACAATATACCTTCAGTCGAACAGTAGCGACAAATAAGGAAGGTCTAAAAAGCTCCCAAATAATCAAGTCACGGTGCCCAGAAATCCAATAAATATAAATGATCTACTGCATCAAGAGCAGATCAACAGACGGAGAAGAAGATTTAACCCCTCATAAAAAAAAAGGATCCTAGATACTGCAACCTAGTAGCACTATGACGAAGAGTGCAAAGGATGAAGTTAAAACGAGAAACACGACCCGGCAGTGGGCTGAGCAGTGACCCAACAGTAGGCTAGGTGGTTGGGCGTCGTGTTTATTGGGCAGTGGGTTAGGTTACTGGGCTGGTCTAGTTTGGGACTATATTGGGTTGGTATGGGTTTATCAGTGGACTGGTTTGATGTGTGGGCTATATTGGCTGGTCTATCGGTGTGGTTATTGAGGCAGTCAATCGGTGGTTGGTGATATGGAGGCAGTCGGTGTGGTTATTGGGCAGTATGTCGTGTTTATCAGTATGTTTATTGAGCTATATTGGTTGGTCTGTCGGTGTGGTTATTGAAACAATCAGTTGGTGGTTGGTGATATGGAGGCAGTCGGTGAGGATGTGATGTGTTGGAGGCAGTCGGTGGTTTAATATGTAGGCTAAAGGGGTTTTTCGCTGGTAGGTGGGTCGCTGCAGTGGCTAATTTGGAGCAGTCACGGTGGCAGTGTGGTGGCCGGTGGCTGTCAGCTGCAACGTGGAGGAGGGGCTAGGGTTAGGGTTACAGTTGTGGCTCTGATACCAACTTGGAATGAATGTGTGTAAAAAAGGGATACTCAAATTAAGAGTAGAGCCCCGTATATATATCCAAAAATAATACAGAGTGACTTAAACATCCTTGTAGTTTAGGCAAAATATAAAAATCTTAGTAAGGGTAAAAAAGGGAAAAGAAATCCTAATAAACCTAGACTATCTATATTCCAACAGACACAAATGTCGCGATGTTGGGATGGTGGAGCACACCTGAGTTTTTCTCAATAGAGTTAATGTATTGGTTGCTATTTCTTTGATTTGTTATTAATGAGTATGAAGTCACTCATAGTAGAATGCTCAATTTTTTTCTCAGGCAATGAAGAGGGGAGGATGGATCAGAAGGGGTTCGTACTGAGGTGTTGTATTCTGTAATTTTTGAGGAGCGTTGAACATGATACTGTGTATAGATGTTAGCATATGACAACTCCATTCCCTGCTTAGTTGTTCAATGTATATGCTTGTATTTGACAATGAGACCTTATTAGCCAGATCATCCTCAATCTTGGGATGGATTGCTGGTTTATGTTTATTGTTTACTTTCAATGTTTTTGAATAAATTGGACCCAATTTTCAATTTTTCGGTTATATATTGTAAGTTATAATTCTTTTAGTTATTGTTTGGCGTATTTTGAATTGTGGGAGTGCTAGACTTGATCTGCTTGAACCAGCGTGAGTTGAGTTTCCTTAATCGTGACTGTTCAGGTGATTAAAAATATATTTATCTGTGAGAGCCATGGCAAGGCATTGAGTTGTCAAAAAAAAAAATGAAACAAAATATTATGTAGAAAGAAAGGTAACATGTTGAAAACTTTGTTGTTTATAAGGAGCCAGCTTAGCAATAACTTAGGAATGACACAAAAATGAAACAAATTCCAAAATACACTTCACTTGACCCCTAAGACTATCCTTTTTTAGAAGAAACAACAGTGCATGAACCTCCTCTTAGGTGGTGGTGGTGGTGGTGGTGTTGGACATTGACGCTCGATTTTCAAATTCTTACGTTTGCTTGATACACGCAGCACAATCATGTAAATAGACACCCAAGACACAAAAATCACGAATATTAAATAGAAATGGGAAAATTTCCATCACGCCCTCTTTAGTTTCTAAATTTTCAATGACACCTCTTCTAGTTTAATTTAAACATGACTAACACTCCCTATCATTAAACTACCATTTTTAACAAAAATAATTCATCTAAAATACCAAAAATACCCCTACATAACCTCAAGTAATTTTTCTACATAAAATTTTATTAAAATTCGAGTTGTTAAAATTTAAAAAAAAAAAATTGTAAACAACAATTTTAGTAATACTAATTTGTTATTTACTAACTCGTAAATTTTAAAAAAAATTCGAACCTATTAAAATTTATTTTTTACATATTAAAATTTGAGTCTATTTGAATTTTACCCTAGTTATTAGTGCCGATTAAAATTCTCTTTGGAGTCGATTAAAATTTATATTTTTTACTTATTAAAATTCGTGTCAATTAAGATTCGATTTATTAAAATTTAAGTCAATTAAAATTCAAATATTTTTATATATTAAAATTTGGGTTGATTAAAATTCAATGCGAATTGATTAAAATTTGATTTGAGTCGATTAATAATAATTTTTAATTGGCTCAAACAAAATTTTAATTAGCTCAAATTTTAATACATAAAAAAATATAATTTTTAATTGGCACAAATTTTAATATGTAAAAAAATAAATTTTAATTGGTTCGAATTTAATTACGTAAAAAAATTAGAAAACAGAGGAGGTCTCATTGAAAAAATACTTATCTAGAGGGGATCTCATTAAAGATATGCTTATCTAGAGAGGGTGTGGATGAAGTTTGTTCTCAAATATATCATAGTCAATTTAGTAAAATTGTATTCTACTTAATATTTTTAATCTGACAGGGGGTGTCATTGAAGATTCACAATTAGAGGGGGTGTGGTTGAAATTTTTCCAATAGAAATTTAGATTGTACCTTTTTTTAAATGCTATTTAGTCTTTTAGAATAGTAGACTATTAGCGTGTTATTGACGCTTTTTAAGCATTTTTGTTTCGTAATGTCAGCATTGAGATACAAAAAGATCTACTTAGATTCAACGTTTTAAACTTGTGATTGATTCATTAAAAAAAAATGATTTTTAAACTCTGCCATCCCTGTTTCGTGTAGAGAAGTTTTCGTATATTGAATACAACTTTTGGTTGTCAGCTGTGGTTGCTTCCGCGATGAACTTTGGTTCAATGCAATTACACACTTACAAGATTGCACAGGATACTCTAAGCTAAATATTTTATGTAACTAGTTTTGATAATTCTAGAAGAAAAAAAACCTCAAATTCAACATCAAATTAGCTGATTGAAACTTAATTTTCTAGGATTCACGTGGTAATAAAGGAAAAAAATAATAATAATATTTTTTTACGATTTTATCTGGTGACATGATGGATCATAGCTGTGGAATTAATAGCGAGTCCCAACTAATAATAGGATTCATTGTCAATCTAATGACAAAAAATTATAAAGTTGTCAAATAAAGTTACTAAATAAGGTCAATGTAATATTACTTTTTTTATCGTAAAATCTTAAAAAACTTAAATCAAACATATATTTTGTGAGTAATGTCTAATTCATAGAAAAATAATATTATAAGAGTATCAATGACGAAACAATATAATCTGTCAAATAATCTTGAATTTGGAAGTTTTAGAATTTTTTATTTAATTTAAAAATTAAGAAAATTAGTTATAATATCAATAAAAAAATATATATATTAGAAAAACTTCAATACGAATACTAAACAATTAATATGCATCTAAAAAAAAAATTATATTAAATAATTAACATTATTATTAAAAAAATTTTCAATTAAATTTATCGCTTTAAGCCTCAAAACATATTATGCCACCCATGTGTATATCTTATCTAGTCTATATTTATTGATAAATTTATGGCAAACCAATACAAGCACAGCATTTGACTACTTGATCTCTCGTCTCGTCGACATAACTTTTTTTTTAAAAGAACACAATAGTGAATGAATTGACTAAATCATGTTAAATTTTTTTTTTTATATTAACTATATTTTGAATATAATTAATTTTTTAATACCAAGGATGGAATTACGTCTGGAAAACCTTCTTGGACCCCATGTGAAGTCACTATTCTGTGACTTCATTTTGGAGGGAAAGACGCAGTTATTCTGAGGACTCTATACAGGAATGGCAAGCTGTCAATTGTGTTACTCTAAGGAAACCCAAAATAGAATTAAAAAAAGCATTTCAATCATGTTTGGGCACTACACCAGAACATCGCATAATAAACACATCAGAAACACTATAAGAACACACCATTGTGAATCCAAAATACACAAAAGCTGTAAAGCAGTTTCAACTTTTCCATCTTTTCAAATCCCTTCCTACCTTTCTTAGCAACCCAACCCCCCCCCCCCCCCCCCCCCCGCCCACCAGGTTCCTCTATAGGACCCACATCTCTCTCTATACCCATTTGGGAATTAGAACAAAGGGCATGGCCATGGGTTCATCTTCAAACAGCACTGAATGTGTGGGTATGTGAGTTTTCTTTCTCAGTGGGTCAAAATACACTTTGACCACCTCGAGTATCATATTTCTCAAATTACACTTTCAACTATTTTATTGGTTTTACATCGCCTAATGATTAACACTTGTTACAAATTTACTAAAACGTTATTTCATTTTGCCCTCAAACTATGAAATTTTGCTCTATTTTGTCTTGACAAGTTAATAATTTATGTTCAAAAAGAAAATGGACACTTAGGTTCTTAGTAATACGAGATCAATTCAAGTGGTTAAGAGAGAAATATGAAAAATTCAATACAGACAAACTAAAAACGAGTACATAGTTAGGGTGCTCCAAAGTGTAATTAGTCCTTCTCAGAATTTTGTGGTTTATATGTGGAGAATGTGATGCATACAGTTCTTGAAAAGTTATTTGATATGCGTATGGAAAAATTTGCATGCAGGAGTAGATACTGAACCAACCGCCCTCCAAAAGCATGTTATGTTCTTTGATCAGAACAAAGACGGAATTCTTTATCCTTGGGAAACCTATCAAGGTTTTTCTCTCCCTTAAAAGTTTTTTTTTCTGTTTTTTTTTTTTTTTTTTTTCGGTTGAAATGAACTCTATATATATCATGAAAATTTTGATGACGTTTCTAATTGGGTGTTTTTATTTATTGTTTGTTTTGTTTTGGGTTAATCAGGTGGTCGTGCAATTGGATTTGGCATTCTTAGGTCTACCGCTCTCGCCATTTTCGTCCACCTTTTCTCAGTGGCAAAACTAGACCTGTAATCTCTCTCTCTCTCTCTCTCTCTCTCTCAATATATATATATCCTAAGATTACAATTCTGGGTCTGGCGTACAATTAACTCTAACTCAACTCTAATATATAATTTTAACCTTAACTCTGACCCTAACCTCACCTCGGGTTGGGGAACTCAATCCAAACACTGCCCGAGTTTAATTCGGGCAGGCTCGAGTTGATGATTTCGAATTATTTTACGAGTTTAATTTGAGTAGAGCTCAAAATAGGCTTGTTACTCTAAACCTAATACATATATTACATAATATTCACCTAAATTAACAACCAATAATTTCAACTAAGTTTTTAAATGGAGAAGTTAAATGAACGAGAGAGACAAAGAAAACGAGAGAGACAGAGAATGATAGAACAAAAATAAAAACCAGTGCTAATACTATTTTTTTTTTAATTTGCCGGGTTCGGGTTGAACTCAGATTCACGAGACCTTAACCCGAGCCCAACTCAAATTGAATTCGGATTGGAGTTTCTTGACCCAAGCCCAACCCACCAACCCAAGTATTAAAAACCCTTGCCCAAGCCCTAATGTTTTTCGGGTTGGGCTCGGGTTGAAATTTGGTTCCCAACTCAAGTTGCACTCCTACTAGCGATAGACCCATAATTGAAGACAGTTTATAACTTAAAAAAAATTTAATTAAAAAGTTAATCCCAATTAAATAATCAATCAAAATAGTTATAAAAGAAAAGAAAACCTAAAATTGAGAGCTATTAGCATCATAATTAGTTCTCAAAGAAGGCAATTTGAAAGTTCATATGGCCAAATAATCTACAAAAATAACATTCAACGATTAGTAAGAAACACGAAAGTGTAAAAATTTTTCAACTGTTTAAACAAATTGTTGATGTTTTGCGATGAATTAAACTTCGTAAGACTTATAGTTTTTTTCCACTTGAAATGATGATTTGATGCATAGACTTGTGGAAAGTTTTTATGTTTACAATGTAGGTAACTATAGAATGAAATATTTTGTTTTGTATGCTGCAGGGAAAATTCCCTTCTCTACTCTTCCCAATAGAAATTAAAAACATCCAGAGAGCCAAGCATGGGAGTGACTCTGGTACATATGACACAGAAGGAAGGTATACTTGGTGCACTCAACAAATAATTCAATTATGTGTAATGTATTGGCCCCCTTAAGAAAATCACAACGATTTTGACATAATGGTAAAAATATAAAAAGATTAGACATAAGTCGTAAAAAAAGTCGTCGGATCTAATCGATATAAGCCCTTGTTAGACTTTGAAAAGTCACGAGCTTAAGCATGCCGCTCTGTCTTATTATATAAATTAATTTGTTTGTTATTCTTAGGTTGCGCTAAACTTTGTTATTCTTACATGGATTTTAATTTTACTTTCTTGGAAGGTTTGTTCCATCAAAATTTGAGGAGATTTTTCAGCAAGCATGCATGCACCAATTCAGATTATTTAACAGCACAAGAACTAAAGGAAATGCGACAGGCAAACAGGGTTCCCAAGGACTGTTTCGGAAAGTCTGTTATTTTTTTTTAATTTCAAAATTGTACAGTTTAATAACGGCTAATTTTCGTTCAAAGCTATTTAGCAAAGTGAAAATTTTGGAATGAACAGGATTCAAAGCTTCTTTGAGTGGAAGCTTTTATATGATATTGGCAAGGACAAGAACGGTTTGCTGCACAAAGATACGATTAGAGGTGTTTACGATGGAAGCTTGTTTGAGAAATTGGCGAAGGAGAAAGCTTCGTCTGGGAAATACGCGTAAAGTCCTTAATTTGCAATAATCGACTCCATTACATTTTGTGCTTATGTTTATTTTTATATACTTGTATATTAGTTGTGTACTCAGAAGAAACAAAGAAAAGTCTTACCATGACAATACTTTTTTGGTGCAGTGTTACTCCAGCGTACAAAGGGACAACTTAGTACCGTCGTATTGTGTGATTGCAGCTCGCTGGTGTTCTTGACTATAAACTTGCATTTGTATGGATGGGCATTGGTAAAACCTTGTGTAATATTTGTTAATAATTGAAAGATAAATGTACTAGGTTGAACAATATTCATTTGTAAACAAATTGGGATTGTCATCTCATCAGGCAAAATGACTATTCATGTCCTTATGATTTTTTACCCTATAGCTTTGAATGTGAATATGGTATAAAATTCTTGAATGTTTCGATCAATTTCTTAGCACAATGGTTTAGTAGGAGTTTATAGCACTATGGAGCTGTATTTTATATTAATTATTCTCAAGTTCATTTCTGATTATTGCACCAACTACATCGAGTCTAAATTGTATTTAGAACTGTTAATTAACTTGTCATGTTATATTAGAGTTGTGCATTATCAGATCATATCTTGTTTACGTTAATCGTGAATTACAAACCTAAGAATGTATCTTTGTATCTCTTAACTGATTCAAATAGATATAGGTCTTTCATAATTTAAAATTTTTTTTATTCAACTTTTAGTAAAACCAAATCAAAATCATTTGATTGTAAAAATAATTCAAATAACTATATCAAGAAATAAAAACAAACATATATTTTTCATAGGCAAAATTTATTTTTGTTCTCCAAATTATGTGGTTTGTGTCATTTTGATTCTCAATAGTTCAATTTAGTTCCTCAAGCATTTAATTTGTGCCATTCTGGTTCAATCGAAAACAATAGTTCAAATTGACTACAAGATGAAGATTTTTCGGTGCATTTTCACATGACCACATGTAGAAGGGCAATTTTTTGGAAACGTAAGTGTT